CCTTGCAACTCGAAGAACGTCTCTGCCTTAGAGACCCACCCCAACGGATCAAACCCTTCGAAAGTGGGTAGTTCTACCCTTTTTCCCCGGTTAGGTTGGACGTCTCTTCGGTCTTCATCCAGTTCCTCCTCCGAGCATTCCCTTCTCCTTTGATTCTCGTTAACGGAATGTTGATCTTCATCTACAGACCCTGGACTGCCTTCTAATCCCTTTTCCTGGGTCCACACCCTTCCTCCAAGAACTCGCAAGAGTTCTCTAGTTTCCTGCCGCATTTCTTGCATATTTTTTTTTTCATTCTAGTAGCTCCCTTTTCTGTTCGCTGATCCTCCTTTCCCAAGAATTGTCTCTTCCTTCCATCACGCTCCTTTCCCCAAGAATCCGACACCCCTCTCCAAATGGGAATCCGGCAGTTTCTTGATTACTTCTTGATCCTTCACCCCCACTCCGATCCGGCAGGTCGGACCACTTTGTTAGGGATTCGGGAAGGAATTCCTAACAAGCTCTCTCTCTATCTCAAACACAACAATCAAGAACTTGTAAAGAAGAAATAGTATGAATGGTATTCACAACAATGAATCAAGAATACACTGTATCTTAGGAGCTTAACCTCCTCCACCTGGTGCTAAGACCGGTCAACACATACAAACTACACAACTGGCTAACTGAAACAATAAAGGGTCCTAATATATAGGCCTTTTCCCGCCCCCTCACTTAACTGATTAACAGTTAAGTGTTATGTTTCCCTTTTCTCCTTTCCTATACTCTCTAAGTCCTAACAATGGTTACTTTCAAATATTGTTTTCAAGAATCTGATATTGACACTATTGTTAATTTAAAATTGGATGTATCAACCAGGTGGATTCAATATAGCTGATGTTTGGAAGTGAACTCAAATATGTAAGAACATTTGATATTGTTAGGCTGGCAGATGCAAATTATTAGGGTGTCCATCTAATGAAGATTTGAGGGGATAAAAATGTCAGTTTCTGGAACCATTTTGAGAACATAAACATGATACCAAATTTATCTTACCCAACCTCAAACATATACTTTTAGCATGTATAGAATATTGAATGCATGTTCGATGAGAACTTGCTCAATAAAGGAAACGTGTGCAAGATTGAAAAGAAAATTGGGTATTAGTCAACATTAGAAGATAAGGTTAAATGTTCAAGATAATAGTTTGAGAAGCGTTATGGAAAATTTGATTAATTTTAATGCACAAAGTGCATCTCAATCATGGTATGTTAGATAAGTCAAGTGGGGAAGGAAGTAGGAACTATTAGAATTCCAAGTGAGTCTAAGTTTCACATTGGGTAGAAATGAAAAAGTAAAACACCATATAAAGATGAAAACCCAACCTATTGTTTTAAGGTTTTGGGTAGAGAGTGGTTTCAATCCCTTGTATAGTTGGACTCAGATCTCATTAGTGTTGTATATTTCCAATGAACATCCTCCTCTAAACCTCACACGAACAAGAGGTCAAAAGTACTCAAAATATTTTTCTTTTAAACGATTAGTCATTACTTTCATAAACTTTTTTGTTAAGATGACGGATTAATAAATTACTTTCTGCTGGAGCTTAACAAGTTTCAAAATGGAATGAATCTTAACATTAAGAAAAGTGAACTGAACGTATTAAGCAAAACCACTTTATGATGGCAATGAAGATTTAGACTTGTTAAGTTGGAAGACTAATAAAAAGGATTTTCTGCACATGCACTCATGGCACTAGACGTATTTAGTATTCCAATCGCCACAGTAGCATTGGTGCACATGCTCTTAGTAGATGAAGAAGCTTTTTCTCACCGCAGAAGACACAAAAGTTTGAGGCACTGTTATTGAGATTGACTGTCTTATTTGTCTTTTCCTATTACATGAAGATAATTTTTTATTATTGTCATGGAACAACAATATCAATTCAATGTGCTATCAAGATGAATATAATTTTAAACCACATATTTCTGTATGTGGTGGCTTTACAGCCAGATGGGCCTTTTGGCCATCAGTCAGAGGTGACCCATCTGACAGCTCTTGCTGTCTTCTGCTGTCAAATGTCTTTTCACCTTCTGGAAATATTAACATATTATGTGGTTATGTATTGATGGTCATATGATTGAGCTTATATTATGTGAGCATTTTTTTGAAGAACAGGAACTAATTTGCTCTTGTTTTCATTCTAGAGCTTACTGTATGAGATTCTCTCTAGTCTGAGGTCGGCATCAACCAATGCTGCAAGTTCATCTTCTGTGCTTCCAGCAATTTCCACCACAAAATCAGTTACGGAACTTCTTTCGGACGTCGCACCAGTGACTGATGTAGTAGGGTCTGCTTATTACTTTTTCTTTAAACAAGATTTTGATGTTTAATTCATTCATCACTTGTAAATTTATAATGCAGGAATCCTTTTTTAGAGAAGATATTGTTGGCAATGGCGAAAGTGGCCGTGATGAACCCACGGATATGCAGGTGATCTTATCAAACACTGTCTCAGCAGTTAAAATGTTTCTGGGATATTTTTTTACCTCTAGGGTTCACCGTTGGAAACAAGTATCACATTTTAAGTCTACACATTGTGTGCTTCTTTTGGTGTGTTATATTTAAAAATATGTGTACTACAATATAGTTGTAAAAAACATGATTTCGAATAAAATTACTCTGTTTAGGCCAACCGTGTACTCAGTTGATTGACAATGTTCCAATAGTGTTCTATTCATTGGCTTAATTAACCCTGAGAGTCGTTAATTTTATCTATAATCCCTTCTTCGGGGTAATTTTTCTTTATTTATTATAAGATTTATTTAATTGTTTTTTTAATAATTGAAAGGAATTTGATTTCCTTATACTTCAAAGATGAATTAGGCAATGTAGTTAGTGACCTCATAATACCTGAGTACCCAGAAACCAATACTAATTATATTCATATTTGATGTCCTAATAGCACTCATTCGAGATTTTTAGTGCCAACAACTCCATTCTTGACGGACAAAATAATTAAAAAATGCTGATAAAGTCAAAATAACTCACGTATTAAGTAGTTTTAAACTGTTGTAGTTAAAAAAAAATGTCTCCAAAAATGCAACTTGATTGCAAAAAGGCAGGATTTTCAGCCTAATTATTACTGATCTTAAGTATTGTTTTAATGGGTGAATAATTTCATTAGGAGTAGAGTTTAGTACTAATTTGGTGTTCAGAGGCACTGTTACCACATTTTATAATTTTAGCAGCCTTTATTTTAAGTATGGCATGGTTGAATTTGATAGGATAAGCTCAATGGCGAGGGTGAAGATTGCTGTTCATATACTAGCTCAAATAGAGAAAGTTGGGGCAGATGTTCTTCTCTAGGAGGCAGTGATGAAGAATCTTGTGCAGATTTAAGGGCTGATGATACCCTCTCTCAGGTATGACATACATTGAAAATGATATTGAAAGTGACTGTGTGTACTATCGATTATATCAATCAGAACCACTTGTTCTGCAGTCTGTGGTTCATTTGCATGTCTATTCCATGTATATGTAATGTAATGATCTATAATCTATTCGTTATCACTGACATGCTTCATTTATAAATAAACAATGTCAGAATAATGTGAAGGTGTTTGCAACACCTATGCGTGGCACTAAAGAGAAATCGTTGTACCCAAAAGATGACAAGAAGCACAAGAAGAACAAGAATAAGAAAAAGAAAGATGAAAGCGATGTAAAGAAGCCGAAGAGCGAGAGGTTTGAGAAGCTGGAAGCTCTAAGCAGACGCCTGCGGCATTGCTTAATAAAGGGATCAAACCATCGAAGGCACAAGTCCTCTTAGACTCACCTCTCTCACCCTTTTCTCTTTTGTATTATATTATCACCCATCCATCTTCTAATTCTAATGTTCTTTTAACATTAAATATTAGAATACTATTTGTAGGTAGTTCTAATGTTCTTTTAACTTTAGGAATTGCCTAACATTTGTTTCTCTTCGGCTTTGATTTCCCCACTGTGATTATTACTTGATATAAACATTATTACTTTTTGTAACTTTTCGAGTTATGAAAAAGAGTATCTCAGAAATCATGAATGGAGTGGTGGAAACTTCCAGCATTAGAGCTTGTTATGTTGTCCGATGAATGGCCTTACAGTTAACAACTTAGTTTGTTATAAGCAGTTAAATTGTCACTCTCTATAATTTGCTCATATACTACTTTTTTGTGATAATTTGTTAACACTGGAAAAATTTCTTATCAAGGCACACTTCCTAACATCTGCACAGGCACAGTTACTTTGACTAACATTACAAAAATTCGCGTTACGTGTATAACCCATCAGCCAAGTTCTTCTTGATGAATAGGTCTATTCCGGTCACCCCAATTCACATTATAAATGTATCTTGACGGTTTCGGACGTGTATAGGTTCAATATATTTCAGACGAGTTTATGAATAATGCACCACGTTAGGATGCTTCTTAACTGTTTACAAATTTGACAGCATTTCAAAACGGAAGCCAAAAAGTAGTGATTTGATAGTCAAATATCTTAAAGCCAGAAAGATAACGATTTGATTCAGTTCGTGCCACAGACACCTTTATTATTCTTTGAAATGTTCAATAGATGCAACTGGAGAAAGATCCATATAGGAACAGATTCCAGAAGAAAAATGAATAACGAACCAGAGAAAACAAAAAAGTCATTTGAATAAAATAAACTTAAAAATGATTTTAAAATATAAAGAGTAAACTTTGTAAAATCACAAAGAATAAAACAAGTGAAAAAAAATATACAAAAGATATGTTTTTGAAAATACAAAAAAGAAACTATATAAAAATATGTACAGTAGAATTGCTAAAAATATAAATCAATATATGAACAAATTTATCTAATGTGTATTGTTAGACTAATAATCAATTTATCTATAAACTTATATAATATGTGTTATTAGAGACTCGTCTAATTAGTATATGCGCACACTCTTCTAATGTGTGTTGCGCTCGTCTATCTAGTATATGAACATACTAGTCCAATGTGTATTACAAGACTCATCTAATTAGATAATGAATAAATCTATCTGATATGTGTACGAACATACTCTTATAATGTATTGCTAGACCCGTATAATAAGTGTATACATAAACTCTTCTAATATATATTGCAAAACTTATCTAATTAGTGTATTGACATATTCGATTAATGTGTATTCTTAGACTTGTCAAACCAATGTATAGAATGATCTGTCTAGTGTTTGTTATGATACTCGTCTAATAAGTGTTTGGACAAACTCGTCTAATGTGTATTGCTAGATCTGACTAATGTTTTTGCCAATACTCGTTTAATTAGTATATGAACAAACTCATCTTATGTGTATTACAAAATCCATCTAATCGATGAATGGACACACTCATATCATGTGTATTAATAGACTTGTCTAATTTGCGTATTAACATACTAGTCTAATGAATATTGTTAGACTTGTCTAATTAATATATGAATAACTCATCTAATGTATATTACTAAACTCTTATAATTAATACATTAATAGACTCATTCTACACTTATATTTGATTTCAGAGAAGAGAACCTTTTCTTTCAAATGTTAGGGTAAAGAAACACAATATCTTAAAAGAGTTACAATAAATTATGAAATCAAATGACAGGTAATTCATTCAATATTAAATCTCATTAAGTCCAAACATCGTTTCAGTAAAATTAATGAAAAAAACCTATTTGTTATATATTTAAATAAAAAGACCTAATTAAGACGACTAAAAAATATAATGACTAAATTGGAATTTTTGAACAAAAGTGAAAATTTAAACCAAAGATAAATTAACCATATCAAATGACTTAAAAATCAACATTTAAAACATTTATAAATGTTTCTACTGAATTGGGACAATGATACCACCGATGTGCTGCTCCTGCCTTACCGAATGTGCGCTCTTCTCCTTGCTCTAGTAACCGATTGGTGTATGGGGGTGACCTACAGAATATACTTCGATGTTCGAGTCAGAATTTTTCTCGGGAGAAGTAAATCAATAATGGAAAAAAATGAGTTTACTTCGAAATTAAACCTTTGTTTATAGAGTTTATAAGAATCTNATAAAGGGATCAAACCATCGAAGGCACAAGTCCTCTTAGACTCACCTCTCTCACCCTTTTCTCTTTTGTATTATATTATCACCCATCCATCTTCTAATTCTAATGTTCTTTTAACATTAAATATTAGAATACTATTTGTAGGTAGTTCTAATGTTCTTTTAACTTTAGGAATTGCCTAACATTTGTTTCTCTTCGGCTTTGATTTCCCCACTGTGATTATTACTTGATATAAACATTATTACTTTTTGTAACTTTTCGAGTTATGAAAAAGAGTATCTCAGAAATCATGAATGGAGTGGTGGAAACTTCCAGCATTAGAGCTTGTTATGTTGTCCGATGAATGGCCTTACAGTTAACAACTTAGTTTGTTATAAGCAGTTAAATTGTCACTCTCTATAATTTGCTCATATACTACTTTTTTGTGATAATTTGTTAACACTGGAAAAATTTCTTATCAAGGCACACTTCCTAACATCTGCACAGGCACAGTTACTTTGACTAACATTACAAAAATTCGCGTTACGTGTATAACCCATCAGCCAAGTTCTTCTTGATGAATAGGTCTATTCCGATCACCCCAATTCACATTATAAATGTATCTTGACGGTTTCGGACGTGTATAGGTTCAATATATTTCAGACGAGTTTATGAATAATGCACCACGTTAGGATGCTTCTTAACTGTTTACAAATTTGACAGCATTTCAAAACGGAAGCCAAAAAGTAGTGATTTGATAGTCAAATATCTTAAAGCCAGAAAGATAACGATTTGATTCAGTTCGTGCCACAGACACCTTTATTATTCTTTGAAATGTTCAATAGATGCAACTGGAGAAAGATCCATATAGGAACAGATTCCAGAAGAAAAATGAATAACGAACCAGAGAAAACAAAAAAGTCATTTGAATAAAATAAACTTAAAAATGATTTTAAAATATAAAGAGTAAACTTTGTAAAATCACAAAGAATAAAACAAGTGAAAAAAAATATACAAAAGATATGTTTTTGAAAATACAAAAAAGAAACTATATAAAAATATGTACAGTAGAATTGCTAAAAATATAAATCAATATATGAACAAATTTATCTAATGTGTATTGTTAGACTAATAATCAATTTATCTATAAACTTATATAATATGTGTTATTAGAGACTCGTCTAATTAGTATATGCGCACACTCTTCTAATTTGTGTTGCGCTCGTCTATCTAGTATATGAACATACTAGTCCAATGTGTATTACAAGACTCATCTAATTAGATAATGAATAAATCTATCTGATATGTGTACGAACATACTCTTATAATGTATTGCTAGACCCGTATAATAAGTGTATACATAAACTCTTCTAATATATATTGCAAAACTTATCTAATTAGTGTATTGACATATTCGATTAATGTGTATTCTTAGACTTGTCAAACCAATGTATAGAATGATCTGTCTAGTGTTTGTTATGATACTCGTCTAATAAGTGTTTGGACAAACTCGTCTAATGTGTATTGCTAGATCTGACTAATGTTTTTGCCAATACTCGTTTAATTAGTATATGAACAAACTCATCTTATGTGTATTACAAAATCCATCTAATCGATGAATGGACACACTCATATCATGTGTATTAATAGACTTGTCTAATTTGCGTATTAACATACTAGTCTAATGAATATTGTTAGACTTGTCTAATTAATATATGAATAACTCATCTAATGTATATTACTAAACTCTTATAATTAATACATTAATAGACTCATTCTACACTTATATTTGATTTCAGAGAAGAGAACCTTTTCTTTCAAATGTTAGGGTAAAGAAACACAATATCTTAAAAGAGTTACAATAAATTATGAAATCAAATGACAGGTAATTCATTCAATATTAAATCTCATTAAGTCCAAACATCGTTTCAGTAAAATTAATGAAAAAAACCTATTTGTTATATATTTAAATAAAAAGACCTAATTAAGACGACTAAAAAATATAATGACTAAATTGGAATTTTTGAACAAAAGTGAAAATTTAAACCAAAGATAAATTAACCATATCAAATGACTTAAAAATCAACATTTAAAACATTTATAAATGTTTCTACTGAATTGGGACAATGATACCACCGATGTGCTGCTCCTGCCTTACCGAATGTGCGCTCTTCTCCTTGCTCTAGTAACCGATTGGTGTATGGGGGTGACCTACAGAATATACTTCGATGTTCGAGTCAGAATTTTTCTCGGGAGAAGTAAATCAATAATGGAAAAAAATGAGTTTACTTCGAAATTAAACCTTTGTTTATAGAGTTTATAAGAATATAACCAGTTAATTTAACTTTTAATGATCATTAATGCAAAATCTTAATTGCTTAGTCATTGTAATATTAGTTGCGCTTTAACTATTGTGGAAAACGAGTGGCTACAAAGTTCTTTTCTCCACATCTACCGCTCAATCCTTTCGAACCAACAAGCCATCGTACCCGATCTACCGGTCCTAGGCCCATAGTAACAATAAGTAAACTAAATATAAATAATAAAATGAATTTCTTAATATATTATTTTCTTATATTATAATAAATAATAAATATAATATATAAGCCCCTAATCCCTTAAAATTCAACATTTGAAACACTTTTCAAATTACTTAAAAAAAACAACGTAGACACTTATCAAGAAAATAAATATATATACCATTGTATTATATTTCAGTTAGGACTGTATATTCAAATCTGAAATAAAGAATAAGAATAACCAATGTCGCAAGAAAGCTTGAAATTTCTCTAGAAAAAGAAATCATTTTTTTGTTCCGTAGTGTAGCTCTCACTCACGTTTGGGACTGCGAGGGCAAACCAACGAAGAAGACTTCGATTTGTGTCTCGGCCAATGACGGTGTGGAGGTAATTTCCTTCTCTCTGTCAAACCCTTATTTGGATATCTTCTTGAAGTTCATGCTGTAATAT